AAAAAAAATGTATGTATATAAAAATGTAAAAATAAGATAAAAAAATGTATGTTTCAAAAAATGTAATTAATAAATAAAAGAATATATGTGTATAAAAATACAAAAATTAAAAAGGGAAAATGATGACAAATAAATTCACTTGTGTGACATCAGTAGGGGAGTGAAGTGAGTTTCATTACAATTTTTCAACTTCTATATTTGCCACGAATGTTAAAAAATGGTAGCATGCAGTTGTAAACAGTACATGACATCATTGGTCAGGAGGTACTTTGCTGAAAAAATATTTTAAAGGAGGTACATTTCTAAAAAAAAGTTTGAGAACCACTGTCCCAGAGGAGCTTCATGTTCCTTAAAGTTAATTCAGCACCTTTTTTTGTATCTTGAATCACGTTATTAAACCTTTATTCCACATGGAAAGTTCCCTTCTTCTACTTTCTGGTGTGGCATCAGTACGCTGCCGTAATGTGACCTCAGCAACAACAACAAGTTTAAAGCCTGCGACTCAGCACCAGTCAGTTAGAACTGAAGAAGCTTCTTGGATAAGAGGTGTTTAAGGAACTCAAGCAAGTCCAGTTGTCTACGATACAGCACATATGAATGTAGTCGCTGACATGGAGCGTCTAATCTGACCTGCAGCACTCTCACTCAATATCTATGTACTCAATACTGGACCAACTTTAAAAAAGGTGTTCCCGTTCGTCACTTAGACACAAAAACATTTTAAAACAAGGTCCAGGTTGAAAGATACCGAGCTGACCCTTGAAATCAGAACTTGTATTTATCACTTGTGGTCATTCAAGTCATCTGCACTGATCATCAAACTCCTCTCTGGTTCTTTTCAGGAGCTTCAGAGCCATGAAGAACTTCCTGTTCCTCCTCCTGGTGGTGACGGAGGCGTCCTCCAGGTCGCACAGCGGCTGGTGTGACCTGGGCTGCGACTGTCGAGGAGATCTGAGGTTCACCATCTGCTCCCGGGCGCTCATCTCCCAGCTGCCCGCCAGAGTGCCCCCCAACACCGAGCTCCTGGACCTCTCCGACAACCACATCTCCGTCATCCCCGAACGCTCCCTCAGCAAAAACCGCAAGATCCGAGTCCTCCTGCTGCAGAACAACAACATCAGCGTGGTGGAGGACGGCGGCTTCTCTCAGCTGGAGTTCCTGCAGAAGCTGGACCTGAGCTGGAACCAGATCTCCACCCTGACTGAAGGGTTCTCCATCGGCCTGGCGTTCCTGCGGGAGCTGCAGCTCGCCCACAACCGCCTGACGAGCCTGGACAGCCGCAGCTTCCTGCACCTGGACGGCCTCCAGAGGTTAAACCTGACCAGCAACAGCATCCACACCATCCAGATCAGGTCGTTCTCCTCCATGAGCAGCCTGCGGCAGCTCCACCTGGAGGGCAACCAGCTGACGGCCCTGCGGAGCGGCATCTTCTCCATGCTGCGCTCCCTGGAGGTCCTCAACCTGGGCGGGAACCAGATCAGTGAGACGGAGCCGGGCGTCTTCAAGCCGCTCATCAGCATGACGCTACTCAACTTAGCCAACAACCACATGTCCACGGTGCAGTTCAAGACGTTCCTGAGCATCCACACCTACAGCACCCACATCCTGCTGGAGGACAACCCGTGGAACTGCGACTGCGACCTGCAGAGAGTCTTCAGGAAGCTGCGGAGCATCCAGAGGCTCTTCCTGGACGACTACTACAACCTCACCTGCAAGGAGCCCGCCGTCCTCGAGGACTACAGGCTGATGGAAGTGGACACGGAGCTGTGCCTCGCCGAGACGGTCACCGTGCTCATCATCACCGCCACCGTGGTGATAACGGTGCTGGCGGCCATGCTGATGGGCGAGAGGAAGAGGAAGAAGAAGAAGAGGGGGAAGCACTGGACGCAGCAGGGGGAGCTGTCAGATGAGTCGGACTACTGAAACACAACTTCTGAACCATGTCGCTATTTAATTTTATTTTTTAACTCTTTATTTTCCAGCAAAGAAAGACGATTAAAATAAACATTCTAACTTTCAGGCTTCTCTGTCGTCGTCGTCGTCGCTTAAATCCCTCAGGAACATCTGCACGCCTGCAGAGATTTGAGACTCTGTGGTTCATTTTGTCGGATTTCCCATCTGCTTCGCACCGAACGAGCCTGAAAAAGCTTTTAAACCGACACTGTGGAGGGAATTACTCTAAAACATCTGCTTCATTCAATAAAAAAACTCTACTTTCCTTGAAATGCAGTAAATTTAATCCGTATATTAATGAAAAATGTTTATTTTCTCATCTTAAATGTTCAAATATATTTATATGAATGGATACTGTTCCCTTTTTAAAGCTTGGAAAACATTAAATTGAATGTTGAGACTTTTTCGTGACTAAAACTTTGTGTTTAAAATGAACATTTGCCCACACAGGACTTCACATCATCTGCTTAAGTGTCACATGGAAGTCTGCAGCGCCCTCTGCAGGTAAACTGATTTATTGCTATTAAATTTATGACGTCTAAAATGATAAAAGCTTTATTTACATTATATTTATTATTCTTATAGTTGCTGTAATATCCTCATCTGTGCTGCTCAGTGGTGAGTTTAATGTTTTATTTTATATTTAAATGTGCTGTTTTACACTGATAGTTAAGCAGAGTTATTTTGAACTTAATCACTGTAATGTTTTTATGTTTTCATTGTGATGAATGGAAGTTTCCCCTTTAATAGACACACTGGAGACCTTTAGGCGGAGCCGCTCTGATGCAGCAAAGTCACAGGATTCAGCACGGAGGGGACAGGAAGTTGGCAAAATAAAAGCATGAAGTATGTCGAGGGAAAACAAAGAATATTAACACACACACAAGGAGTTTGCACAAACAATACCTGGACAATAAACATACAAAACAAAGGTGAAATAGTCATTTATTATTTTTATTTTATTTGTTATTTAAGCTATCAAATGCATTCAATTACACAGTTCTTTAAAAAGTCTTAAAAGACAGAATTTATTAATCCAAAAATAAGGCCTTAATTGGTATTTAAATGTCTTAAGTCAGTCTTTCAAGAATCTTAAAAATGCTATGACACAGGAGGTAGGGTTTTAGGTTTTTTCTCTGTTGACATTGCATTGTAAAATTTCAAAATAAATCTGTTTGGTTTTTTAATAATATACTGCGTTTTTTCTCCACCGTTTTTGGTTATTGTAAAATTGGTCTTAAATGTTTCCGAGTGGCATTTAAAGAGTCTTAAAAAGTTTTAAGGGACTGTTCTTTACTTATCGGAGGAGGGGGTGGCTGGGCTGTGACGTCTTCCTTTTTCTTCTTCTTTGTTTTTGGTGTAATTTTGGTTTTCAGTCAGGAAAAAACACAACCAAATCTGAATCAAATCAAAAGCACTTTATTTTCTATTGAAAATTTTGTCATAAATGTTTGCATGAATTAACCAGCATGCGCGAAAAGAGTGACAAAACAAGGCTATTTTCTTCAACTTTAAAACATCTGTGGGTAAATTTAAAAAATCTAAAATCGGTTGGTCGATTGTTTGGTCGTTATGCTCTTGTCAGACCAAGTTCTCATTGGTCAGACAATCGCTGGTGTTACATTAATAAGGCCGTGTGTCCACCAAAGCCTTTCTTTACCCAGCACTGTGGCAATTACGTTAATCTATGGATTACCTGTGCAGATATTAACCCGATCGACCAATCAGCTGGTGGAAGAGTCAGTAGAATTAAAGTCGGAACTCCGATGTAAAGAACAGAAAATTATAAGTAACAGTAAGATTATGGAAAAGAAGCATGTAAATTTAAAGTAATAGAATTTTTTTTTAAGTACATTATGCTACAATGTTAAACACTAGTAGAATAAGAATATGTTCACTGTGCTGAGTCTAATGCTGTGTCTCAAATCGCGTACTTCTGTACTTACACTTAATATTTTGAGTGCATAAGTGCGTTCACACTGAGAAGTATGGAAAAATGCAGTGCACTAAGAGTACCCGGATGGTCAAAACGTTGAGTGTGGAACTATGGACACTTCTCGCACTCAGTGGTCGCCATCTTGGCTACGTAACGTAAGGGGAGGGAGCACTTTTCAAACTGGAAAATTCGCGTGTTTTTTGCACTAAGCACCACTACACTGTTGTCGGGTATAAGCCATCAGTACGTATATTGGGTTAATTTAGCAGTCTGTAATGATTTGGGAACGCGAATGCTAATGCTAGTTTGCTAACTAGCTAATTTGAAGTCGTCATTTCCAGTGAATGCACAACGGCCGTGTTTGGTTTGAGACAACACTACCCTGTCAAAATTTGTATAAATTTTATACTATATGAAGTGTACTGACAGAAGTATGTGATTTGAGACACACCACAAGTGTTTAACCCTTTGAAACCTGTAGCGGCATCACGTCTCTTGTGCTGCTTTCAGATGCCCTTTGCAAGTATTTCAGCCTTGAACTTGTATTGGTGCGATTTCTTACAAAAACATGGGAAAAAAGGCAACGAGCAACTTGGTAAGAAAGGTCCCACATATTGCCAAAAAAATCAGAAAATTATTTTTAAAAATTAGTGAAAAAAGAAAAGAAAATAGGGAAAAACTATACTGATAAGTATTATTATTACTTATTTAAAATCATGGTACAGAATTATTATAATCCATCATTCCTTTGTTTATTTATTTATTTTTAACTTTATTTTCTTTGCTTTTTATTTATTTATTTTACTAATTTTAATGTTTTGGATTTTCTCTTTTTACTAATTTCTTGCAAATCTTTGGGGTCATTTCTTTTGTTGCTCATTACCTTCTTCCCATGAAAGAAATGAAGACAATTTGCTAAGGTTTTAAAGGGTTAAAGAAAAATATGTGCTATATTATGCTGTATAAACTAGTTTACAGTCGACCAACATTGTCTGTGGTTGATTACAGGCCTAATTTCACAACTTATTTATAATCTGAGTAAAGAACAGTCCTTAAACACATTTCAATAGAATTTAACATAACATGACTTTTACTTTGGAAGCGCTAACCGGAAGCAGTCGCGTCCAAAATGGCGGACTTGACGGTTGTGTGTCGGGACAGGTGGGAGCTCCGGTCTGACGAGCTGCTGTTGTTCTCCATACAAAGAGAGCAAAGCCGGAGAAACACTTCAGATTTACATTAAAATAAAAACACAAACACGTTTCGGTTCATTCAGACATTAAACGTTAAATTAAAATAATGTCCACGAGCCGGTCTGCGTGAAAAATGTCCGACAAAGAAGAGAGAAATTCAAGAGAAACTGCGCAGTCATAGTTTAATGGGAGCGGTGACCTGAGCAGGTAAGAAAATTAAACTGCTTTCTGTGGAAATTTAATGTTTTATTTTACCTTTTTAAATATATTTAAACACTTAAATTGAAGTTACAGGCGGTTAAATGACAGCAGGTTTAACGTTTGACTCGTTTCCACCTCGTTTAACCTTTTTATTTTCATGTTTTTTTAAATTGTGACGCCATTTTGGCTCCTTCACGTAATTTTCTTTACTTCAGTGTATTTAATTTGGTTTGTTTGACGGTTGAAATGAGCTGGCTTTGTTCAAGATAGCGACACTTCCGCATAGGACCCTCAGTGACAGTCAGTGACGGTCAGACGGGTGTTAAAGTGGGGTCCGAGGACCTCCCGCGGTCGGGACAGGCTCTCCAGACAGATGTCACGTCATTCATGTTTAGTATTGATCATCAGTGATTTGATTATCTTTATTAATATCCTGAAGACATGCTCCTGGGGCTCAGACATGAGGTAGATTTGTTTAACTTTCATTTTGTTTAAACAAATTTAAAAATCCAATTTCACTGCTGCTTCTTTTTTCACCCAGATGACATCACACATTCAATTCAGTTGATTTAAAACACCGTACTAAAGGCAGATTTATACTACTGTATTTGCGCTAATCAATTTATATAGTGCAGCAGATTAATTTTAAATATAGATGTGCTCATTTTAAACCTAGTTTTACTAAACTCTGATACAAGCTAGTCCTACATTAAATTAATCCGGCCTGAATAAATAAAAATAAATGTAAAAAAAAAAAAAAAAAATTAAAAAAAAAAGCTGCACAGTTCTCATTTTCCATGACTCACACCGGCCAAGCCTTCTGCTTTTAGACGTCACAAGTATATGTGACCTAGTGCAGTTGCGTTTGTCACAGGAAGCGAGACTCACCTGCATGTGTGTGTATGTGTACAAATGTAACCAGCTGGCAAGTGCTGCAGACACAGTGAAGTGCATGCTTCTCTGAAATGAAAGTTTTGTTATACGTCCTTTAAGATGTGCGTAACCTGTATTTTTTATTTTATTTTTTAAGCAAACACAGTGGAAATGGTGATTTAACTGCTCTGTGATTTCAGAGTTGTGTGATTAAATTTCAGAGTGAAGATATTTTTTCTGCTTTTGTTTTCTTTGAAAAAAGAGGAGACAAATATGTCAAACGCTCACCAGAGTCGACCTATTAACCTAGTACAGTGTTATTTTTAATAAGACCTGGTCTGATTTTTTTTCTGCATTTATTTTATTTTATTTTACTGTATGGTTGTATTATTTTATTTTGTTTTTATAATTTATTTTTTATTTTGTTTTATTATTGTATAATTTTATTTCAATTTGTTTTATATCATTTTGTTTTATTTTTTATCATGTTATTT